ATGTAGATTGGCATAATGGGAATAAGCATGCCTTGTAATGTATATAATAGTTTATCTCAATAGTATACACCAACATATGAATAATTCGATTTATTTGTTCTTTAGATGATCAATGTATTAGTTGTACATTTATATATTAACTTGTAACTATTCATATTGCCTTATTTATTAAAAACCGTTATTTGAAATTTCTGTCATCTATTTCATTAATTATTGTTTATTCTGTTCAATCATTGTTTATTCTGTCATCAATCATTGTTTATTTATGAAAGCACTACGTTGTTTCAACATCAAAATATATATGCATTCTTATACCAATTAAATTTTTCTATTTCAAAAAAACATAATTTGGTTAAATACTCACAAAAATATAAGTCCATCTCCTGCGGATTCCTTTTTATATAAATTAATGCAGAATTTCTCCAACGATGAAAAATCATCACTTGCTATAATTGATTCATCAGTTTTTGTTTTATTTTAAGAACATTTGAATTTTAGTCTGATTTAAAACTTTACTGTATTTGATTGAAATCAGAGATATTTTTAATATTTTTTCCCATGAGCTAAATATTTATTTGTTAAAAATTCTACTTCCTAACAAAAATAATAGTAATAGATTTAAATTTTTGGTGCCTTAAGAAAGGATAACTGTACCCGTATTAACATTCGCTACCGTCTTTCCGCGCTACTGAGGATAAACGCAAGCATTCCTTCAACTTTCACAAGGAATGATTGGAGTTTATTTCAAGCCCGGAAGGTCTGCCAGAATTTCATTGTAGAAAAAAATCATGGTAATAAAATTCTATTGGGTTTGTGGAAATCATGTAATTGGCACTTAGAAGAACATTTATATGTGAATATGGCCTAAAACTTTATTGCAAATTTTGATTACGGTTACAGTGATTTTTTATGAAAATTTTTACTTCAGCCAAATATTTACTTGTTAAAAATTCAATTTCAGTTTAAATAAAAATAGTAATGGGTCTAAATGTTTGGTGTCTTGCGATCACAAAATATGATTGGAATTGTTTCAAACTCCGGAGTAAATTAAAAAAATAGGGAAACATTATAGCAAATATTTCTTAAATTCTTTTTCACTCGAGGAGAAACATGATATAGGCTTATTTTAATTCCAAATAAAAGTATTATAACTTTTTTTCAAGCCTTTTAATTGGTTAATATTTTATGCAATTAATAGTCTTTTATAATAAAAAATATTCCATTATATTTGTTTAAAATATACATTTAACGTATATGGTACTTTAACAGTCTTATTTTTCATTTTAAATAATTTAAAAACTGTAATAACTGATAAAATAGAATCTCCTAATTATGGAAAAATTTCATTAATTCTATTACTTTGAGAAAACTCATGAAATAGGCTTATTCCAATCCCTTAAAAAAATTTTGTTTCTGTTTTTGTTCTGAATGCAAATCATTTTAACAAATCAAATTATTGACGATTTCGTATAACCATACATCGTTTACAATACTGATATTTTTGTTTAATTTTTTTTTATATATATATTTAAAATTTAAAGTACTCACGTCCATAATCTTTTTTTCACTTTAAATAATTTAATAACAATAATACTTATTATAAAAAAAATTAGGAAAACGATACATTTTCTTAAATCAATTACTTCCAGGAAAATCATGAAATAGGCCTATTTCAGTCCTTAATAAAATCATTATAACTGTTCACAAGTATTTTAATCGTTTGATAATTTATACAACCTTTAGTCGTATTCAATAGAAATATTCCATTAAATTTGTTTATTGTAAATAGTAATTACACTAATAGTCTTTTTTTCATAATTTTCAATAATTTTAAAACAAAGATAATTGTAAGAAATTAAATTCTTCTTGAAATAATTGTAAGGCTAAAATTTTCTTCACTAAATAATGACAGGTAAATTGTGAAAAAATATTCCATTAAAATAAAAACAAAATGTTTTAACTTCAGCTTTACTCGTTCAGAATGAAAATATTTAATAACTAGAAATTTATTTATGCTACCAGTTATGCCAGAAGAAGTAGGTAGAACTTATCGTCAAAGCTTACCGTTAGATTTGACTTCAAAGAAAATTTCAAAAGAAAGTTGCGCTTTTGTAAAAAAAAATGGCTAAAAAGAAAGCAAATTCAGTTGTTCGTGACGAGCGTTTTATCTCAAAAGTTATTTAATTTTCTCAACAATTTATTTTGTCGTCAAAGCATTTTCTCAAAAATATTCGCAAAACATAAGGTTCACTAAGGGAACACTTCAAAACGTGAAATGAAAGTTAGTTTATGTATTTAATATATTTATATGATCGTGTGTAAAATAATCTCTTTGGATATTTTTTTATTATTTTCAAGTAAAAAAATAAACATGAATATTTTATCATCTAATGGAATATATGAAAATTTGAAGATTTTATCAGTTTTATTATTTTAATCATAAAAGATGACTACACTGAAAAAATAAATATTACCAAAACTACCAAAATATGGTTAATCCTGTCTCTATGGGAGCACTAAAAAGATGTGTAATATTTTCCGAAAAACTGTGGCAAAGAATTTTGCTAAAGCTTGAAATAAAATATGGTTCTATAATATGTAATAAAATTTGATAATTTTATTATGATACCTTAGAAAGTGTCAAAAATAATTTATTCGGTTAAACTTATTTTTCAGTTTTGTATTTTTTACTCTAAGTCTGGTAATAAGAATTATAATTTTGAAAGCTATCATTTTCCGTAAACCCTACTTACCATATGAATAGAAAAATTAGCAAATGAATGGTTTTAATACCGTATATTTAAGCTTTATTAACCAGAATTATGTTTTTCTTGATTTCTTTTTTTTTACCAGGCATGTTATTATCATACAGTAGGGTAATTTTATTAGCAATTTTTTTCTCCGCGTATGAAATTACCGACAGATTTTTTGCACTTTGTTTTATCAAATTTAAGTGCAAGGGTTGAAGAAAAAGTTATCTTTATGTTTCATAAATATTTTAAATCTATTATTATCACAAAAGAATATTTAAAGATTTTCTAAATTTATATATTAGTTAAATCTGGCATTAGTTGTTAAATTTATCATTTTTCTGAAACAATTTTACCACAATCAATTTGGTGCATTTTTATGCATTATTCTTTCTGCTACCATATGAAGCGGTAATTTATATTTCTGGAAAATAATAGAATGCTAATCATGTTCTTTCCGTACGTTACATTTTGGAGAGTTCAGGGAAATATGCTTTCATGCTGTATTTCTACTTGTACATCTCGTTGAATAATGTGTCTGAGTGACATTAGAAATTTGCGTAAAACAACCGTATTTTCCATTTAGCCTGTATACATTCTGGACGCTATGTTAGAAATACTTCTCACATTCTGAAATTTTCGATTGACTCTGTTTTACCTGCTAACATATTATTATAAGTATACAGTTGATGCACGTTTTTTCTCTGGTATATCAATGGTTTTAAGTCTGTGGTTTAATATAAAACCAGTATAGTATCTTGTTTTTTGTTTTTTTTTACCATATGGAGGCTTTTTAACCATATTTATTATTGTTAATGATATAACTGTTTATTATTGTAAATTACTAATTATAGAAATAATTATTGCTTATTATAGAAGATTATTGTTTATTTATTTATTTACTCATTTATTTAGTAATTTGTTTTTAATGAAAGAATAAATTCCAAAAGCAATCTTGTTGGAATAAAGTTATTTTTCCCGGTATTCGACAAAATCTTTGGTTTTTCTCTTACATGTAAAACATTCTAGTGTATATCACCACCAAAAGGTTGGCAACTACTTAACATAAATATGGTGTTTTAAAACCCCCTACAAAGTTCTTGGATAATTTTTAAAGACAGCAATGTTCTTTTACACTACTTGTTGTAAAATATTCGACACCATTTTTGCTACTCAATAGCAATAAAATTTATAACTACAGTAAAATAAGATGCATGTAAGAGTCAGTAAAGTTTTTTTGCAGTAAAATATAAATAAGAATCATTAATTTAGAATGCATATATATATACTAACTCTTATAACCGAAAAAATAAATTAATAAAATTAGTTTGTAGTAAATAGTGCTATATATTAATTATTAATTATTAATTATTAATTATTAATTATTAATTATTAATTATTNAGTTAATAATTAATAATTAATAATTAATAATTAATAATTAATAATTAATAATTAATAATTAATAATTAGTTAGTATTAATTAGCAAATTAATAAATTATATTAAAATTAGTTTGTAAATAAAACATGCGAGTAGCATTGAGGAGAATATAACGATGAATTCGAACTAGGCTTAATAGATAGGTAGCGGACAGAAATTACACATAATAAAATCAGTTAGCACAGCTCTCAGAGATATAAAAATTAAAATATAATTATTCTTATTATAAAACTTAAAACATACATATATATTTAATGGAGAATTTTGGTTTTTGTTGATGAATATCAGCATTAAAAATAACTATATACTCTCTCCAGCTCTCCTCAAATTGTAGACAATCTACTCACGATACTTGACGCTATTTGACTTTCATAGCCTGCGAATATTTATATTTTCAGTTATGAAAATTATTCTCGTATGGGGTAAAAACGTGAAAGCTTGGCACAAGATTATTCGATTATAAGTGTAAAATTTAAAATACATCCTTTAAATCACACGTGAACGCTCGATTTGGGATCGATCCAGAATAAGGTGTTCCTTTGCACAGTTATTTTGGATTGTACATATTCTGGGAGATATCATACCACAGGCTTCATAATGTACTACAGAAAAAAATACGTAATATCACTGTAAAAAAGTAGTTAAAGTAGTATGTACGGAGCAGCTGTTGAAGCATTTATGTTACTTTAGATATTATTGCCTATTTAAAGCAACAATAAAAGAAACATTAAAAATATTCTACAAAATAGAATATTAGCCCAAAATATAAACAATATACATTTTTCATGCTAAATTAAAGCATATTGTACAACACATTTATTTATTTTTCTATTAGAAAAAACACTATTTTTTTGTATTTTTTCAGTTAAAACAGATATAATCTTATAACTTGAACATTCTTTTTGGTACTTTTTGTTGTTCTAGAAATTTAGTGTAATAGAACACCATTCTTTTTCCAGAGGACCTGATGGAGTAAAATCTAATTACTTTTTCTTCTTTCTTTACTGCACCAACAGAACAGGTTTTATCCTCGTTAGTTTTATCTAACCTGTATTATTAGAATCTTTATATACATGTTGAATCGTCTACCATTTTTAGGATTGAACCTATTAGAGAGGCGTAATCCATTCAGTTACTTTGTTGAATCATTTAAATATCGTGTTATACAGAATATTTTGTAGTTCTTTGTTGTGTCATTGTTGAGATCTGCTTAGCCATTGTTATTATCTGTTGTGCCGTTGTTAGTCTGAAACAGAAAAATAACAAATTTTAGTTATGATATTCAAATTAAATATATACTCTTAAATAAATTATTCTTTTTCAATAACGATATTGATTTTTGAAAATGTTTTATGTTGATTCATTTTTTCGACAAAAAAGCTAAGATTTAAATTACGCCAACGATAATGTGGTTAAAATTTCACCATGTTAAGAAGATTAAAAATTTCCAAAATATCCATGATTTAAAATTTCTCATAATGTGAAATTCCTCTGCAATTTATTTTGTCACTAAACAACATTTGTTTCATTTTTTTCATCATGAATTTTCCTAATTTCTTCATTTTTTCTCAACCTTTATAAAATCATCGATTTTAAGTGCCGAGGTATTATCGTTATTGCTATTTAAATTTTAAATCTTCATTATTATTTGCTATTGAACTATAATTCCTCAGTAGAAAACTGTTCAGAGTCCTGCAATGAATAATTTATAGTTTCTTTTCATGCACGTCAACAAATCAGATCGTTGTTCAGCATTTAAAGCGATACAGGCTGTGATTCAAATTTCTTGAATAAGGTGGACATTTAATGAAGCTTGATCGATTTAAATATCAATAATTAGACCACGAATTACATTAGCTTTAACAATTACTTAAAATATTAAGATTTTCTCAGCTCTTAGTATAAATTATTAAAAGATAAAAGATTAAATCTTTCGAAAGAGATTAAATATTTTCAATAAGTGCACAATTTCGAAAGCATCAAAATATTGTTCACTAAAATATGACTGTAAGATATCATGGCATATCTTAGGCTATATATAAAAAATTAAATTTTGAATACGCATTTTAAAATCTCAAGTGATTTATTTCAAATAAATAAGGAAAAGAAAATGATAAAAATGATCAGAAACTATTTGGCAAAGGGAATTGTCTAAGATATTAAAAAAAATATTATCATGTAATAGGGATGTATAATTGTATAACGGACAAAAAAAAATAGAATAGTATTCGGTATTTAAACCATTCATTTGGGAAATTTTTCTTTCCTATGGTAATTGTTTACAGGCAAATCTGATTTTCAAAATTATACTCCTTATTACCACACATTTCGTAAAAGATACAAAACTGAATTGAAAAGTAAATTTGAATGAGTAGTTTTTATACGATGCTCTAAGTTATCATTAAAAAATTAAAATTTATCACATTTACCAAATTTTATCACATATTTTATTGTTAATTCTACCAAATTTTATTGTTAAGTTTACCAATATCATTGCTAATTTGCTTCGATAAAAACTATAGATCATTTTGATGTTCTAACAGAGCCAAAAAATTTGGTAAATTTGAAACGTGAAAGAAAACGTGGTTTTGAAAATACTTTTTTTTCTAAGTGTGCAAATTCTCTAAAATATTAAAAAAAGAGTAATCTTGTTAATGGAGATGTATAAAATGAAAAACAATCGAGCAACTATTTTGTCTTTTATAGCTATCGATAACTATTTCAAGTTATATTACAAAAAAATTTAAATTAGTATATTTTTCAAACAAAATTTACTTAAACATAAATGCTTATTTAAAAACAAATGTTTTAAAATTTACAAGAACAAATAGATATTTAAACTAGGGACCTTGAACACTTCTCTTACTTACCCCTAACGCCAGGTATAAAGTTAAAACGCAATCATCCGTTTTTACTTTATACCTGATAATGTAACCTGATTACATTAAACTAATAATAAAAGTAAATATTACTTATTTTGTTTAATAACTGTAAAACGGTTTTTAAGACAGATAACGTTTAAAATATATTTATCAGAAAAAAAATTACTCCTTTACAATAAAGGAACACTGCTTTTATTTTTAGGTTTATAATTTAGAATAATGATGAAACTCAAAACCGTAATAATAGCACAAATTTGCGCTCTATACTTTGGACAACAGAAAATCCTTGTCAAGCTTTGTTGATTAAGTCTGGTACAAAGAATTTTACTTTAAAAATGAATGATTTATTAATATTCTGTAATATTCTGTAATACATAAATTATTTTCTATTTTTCTGTAATATTCAGTTTCAAGTAAAACCTATTTTTTTGTTAAAACTAATCATTTAAAATCCAGCCATTTAATTTTCAATCAGCCGATTAATCAAATAATACAGGATGTAACCAGGTGCTGGGGTACACGTGCAAGATATTTAAACTTTCAACATTATGCCACTATATCATGTATTTAAAACACTTACAGTAATTTAACTTATAGTGGTATAAAAATAAAACCACTATCAGAACATACATATAGTGGTTTTATTTCTCGATAAGAAATCTGCTAATCCATGTCTTACTATTGTTTGCTTATTATAAATTAATTTTAAAATGTGCGCTGCTAAAGTTATTGGATTTTAGTTCTTTTTTCGGAAACTGATATAAAATCTGTACAAAAAATAGTTATATTGATTGAAAGAAAAAATCTACTATGATATTGTCAAAAAATTTACGCGAGAAATTTAAACTGCCTAGGTCCTTAAGGAGTAAAGAAATAATCAAGTGCAGCTATAACAAAAATTTTTTTATATTATCATAAAAAAATTTATATAAAAAGGATAATATATACGCTGCGTTTTATCAAGCGTACTTGCACGTTTAGCGAAAAGAAACGATTTACTAGCATTTAATCTTGGTGTCGGATCTTAAATGACTTAAATCTTATCACTGAGAATAACATACAAGCAATTGATTAGAGCATTTTTAATTTATTTTAAATAAAATACAAAATCTTTCACAAGGCATAAATCTCTCAGAAAATAAATAGATGTTTTCCTTTTGCAATTAAATAGATAAAATTATTTGAACTAACGATAAATTGCAAATAACTCAAACAGTCGAAAGCAATTTCTGATATGCATTGACTCTGCCTTATGACAACCATTCCTGGTAAAATATCTTCTCAAACTATACGAACGTTATCTGAGCAAAGCAAAACAAGATAAGTCAATACACAAACTTTCTCTGCCTCCAAACTATTTCCCGGTGAAGTCAAGTGATTCACTTACGTAAGGCGCACGAATTGATCGACCCCTTCTCTCAAAAAGAAGTGATTTGTTTTCGCTCGCAGCGGTACAGAGGAATCATACACATATCCTCCTCCTTCGAACAGCTTAGAAAGTTCGAAATCCAAGTTTTGATAATTTAGAAGGATGTTAAGGAAATAACTTAAATTCGAGAACTGTCATAAGCTTGTCGATAAATTGTAAGAAATTGTGTCTGATTTAAAAATAGATACGTTAGATTGTTGCTGAAACTAATTTTAGTTCTTGTATGAAACGAATTAAGTTGCTTCACTTTTTAAAATTGTTTTATTGGTATACTTTTTTTTAAAAAAAAATTGCTCAACATTTGTTTAAGAAGTTTCTTACATTATTTCTTTTTTTTTTTTTTGCTTATTGATTTTATATTTATTTATTTTTTGTTCCTTATTTTAATGTATCTAGGTATTCATTTTTTATTTAAGAATTTATTAAATATTATTTTATTGAAATTATTGTAATTTTTGTTATTAAATTAGTGTACATAAATTTTATTGAATTGAATTAAATATTATTTTAAAATAAACATATGAAAGTAGTGACATATTCTGTGTTCTGAATTAAGGCTCCACATTCTCTCAAATGGTTCAAAAAATTAATTTTGTTTAATTTTTTATTTGTTAAATTTAGTTAAATGCTTTAGATTTTTATGTTTTCGAGTCTTGTGCACCATTAATTCATTTTAATTATCAAAAACTTTTTAAAACATGAAGAAAACCACAAGACACATTTTGTCTGGCCCACAGCTTGTTTTGTTCTCAAAAATAATGATTTTAAACTTGATCATCAAAAATAATGATCATCACGAAGATGTGATTGCACAGAAAGCTTTACAAAATACTCCTCACCCTATTTGGTGTGTTTTTCAGACAACAATTTGTTCCTTCGCTTTCAGTTGGCGAACTCTTTCTCTCTCTCTTTTAGATTGTATCTTTATATCAATGAATGCTGGCATGCACATATCTTCATTACAACTTCTGTCAGTATTGTTATTATCGTTCTTTATATTATTTTATTTGATTTTATATACCTTACATTTTTGAATTGAGAAGTAGTTTCTTTCTTTTTAAGGCACTCAAATAGTAACAACAAATGCAACTAGTTTAATAGTTTTTTATATTGCCTACATACATGACTTGGACACAGTTTCTTCTTTTAATCAATTAATGTAGTGAAATTCACTGTCAATATTATACCTTTATTACATAGACCTAAACACTAATTTTGGAAAATTTAAAGAGTCTCCGAGAAAACTTTCGAAAACTTTATGGAACTCTTTTCTATTCATAGCAATGAAATTTAAGAAAAATCTAAGCTTTTTATTTGAACCACTGTAAGCTCAACAAATCATCTGCAACAAATGTAACCATTCGGCTTACAATTTGTGACAAATTAGAAAAACTACGAAATTTGTTAATAACAGCTACTTTTTCTGGTCAAGTTTCAGACAACATTACAAATATTGGAAGTGTAAGTTTTACCCAGTTTTAACTCAGTAAAGGAGTAAAATAAGTAACGTAAACTCAAAGTTAACTACTGCATTTTTACTATTTTTTATTATCATTATATTTTTAATACCTTGAATATGAAATAATGAAGGTTAAAAAGGCCATTTGCTTATATGAATAAAATTAATAGTATTTTTTCGAACATGTGAGCAAATTGAACTTTAGGATAAGCCTTATACTGATTGTATACCAGTACAATCAGCATATTTATTTACTAAAGCACTCAATTCATATTAAGTATTCAAAATAAGTTATTCCAAACCATAAGTATAAAGANCATATCCTCGTCCTTCGAACAGCTTAGAAAGTTCGAAATCCAAGTTTTGATAATTTAGAAGGATGTTAAGGAAATAACTTAAATTCGAGAACTGTCATAAGCTTGTCGATAAATTGTAAGAAATTGTGTCTGATTTAAAAATAGATACGTTAGATTGTT